GCGGCCGCCGAGCAGCTGGCGCAGCGGTTTGCGGCTTGCACGGGAACGACCAGACGCGGCTTGCCCCGTTCGGGGCTCTCCGGCTTTCCCCTGAGCGCCGCCAGACAAGCGGTCCGCCGGGGGCTCTCAGTGCGGGGCGCCTCTGCCCCGTCACACATACTTTGACAGTTTAGCTAACTTAATAGTACATAACGCATAGACACATCAGATATGTTTTAACACAAAGCACTGAGTGGCATTATTTGGGGTATTACAGTGTTGTGTAGCACTAAGAGCTATATAATGAAACTGGGAAAATGAAAACTTAAGCACAGTGGTAGGAAAAGTTTTTTGAAGGATGTATTAGAGTGTTGAATAGTCTCCCAGGGAAAGTAGTTGAAGTCCATTCCATGGGACATTGACTAATAGGCAAAATTTCCAAAAATGTACTTCAGACTACAATCCTGTCCTGGCAGTAAGCTGGTCTAAGTGATCTAATAGATCTGTTAAGTTTCTTATACAACAGCATAACATTATTGAGATTTTATCAAAAGCACAAATAAACGGCTCAAGATCTAGTTATTTAAAAGTCTGGAATGTGGTTTAAATTTCTGGGGAAAATTGTATTTTCATGAATGGGTCTAGTTTTCTCTTTGTACTAATAAAAGGCTCTGCTTTATTTTAGCATCTGGGGATATGTGCTAAGAAATCAAACTTTACTTTTTGATTATTTGTATTATATGAAATTGGCTATAATTATAGCCTTTACTTCTGCTACTTCTGTTCCTGCTTGCCATCCAGCCTGCACTACTGATGACAGCCATTTTGAGTAGAGTAAGAAGATCCTATTGTTAGTTGATTTGGGTGAGCTTGCAGCACAGCCACTTACTAAAGTTATTTTTGCAGGTAGTCAGATGGTATAAAGTCTGCATACTATGACTTAGTTGATGCCATTGCCAAATACGCCTCTGACTGTGTTCTTTTTGCACAGTGGGTCCTGTATTTCCCTAGGTTTCAGAGAGAAGCACTTGGACTTTGTATATGTAGCTTCTTCGTTTCTATAAACTGAATAGTTTTGGTTTAATGCATTTTGTTTTTAGGACGGATGTTTTGTTCCTCTGAGTGATGTTCTATTACATGGGATGGCCAAATTATGGCTTTCCATTGAAGTGAGGCTGACAGAGCTGCCTCCACCAACCCTAGTTCTCCACCTATAAGATTTGAAGTGGGGGGAGGAAAGACTGAGGACCTCTTCTTTGCAATGGAGGGTGCGATAGGGACTTCTGCCCAGTAAGGAGGAGCATTTTGGGGCATGCCTGCTGGAGCTCAGAGTTTCAGGAGGAATGGGGGTGAAGCCCCGAGCCCTGACAAGTGTGTGGTGACTCTGAAGATAGTCATGTGCAGCTCAGAGGATCAGTAAGATTGGCCATATCTCCTCTATTATTTCTTTTTTTGATGTGATATGCCCAGGAGAGAATAAATAAATAAACCTCAGATCTTGGAATAACTTTTTTTTATAATTTTCCTAGTTCAAGTTCTTCTATAATGGAGGAAAATACAATAGTCAGAAATGTGTGCTTTTTTTTTTTCCTTGGATGCATCTCTTTAGAACCATAATCATGTTTCTGAAAATTATCTAGCTGGGATTACTCCAATTGACCCTTGTTGTTCTTTCAGCTGGAAAACTTTAGACACAGAATTGGACACTTATGCCACTAAATTACTGTACTTGCGTAATATTACATCTAACAAGATAAACTGAGGGCTAGTCATAAGAACAAAGTAAGATTCTATTTGTTTTGTGCCTCTTAACACAAGAACCCGATGAAATGAATAGGCAGCAAGTTAAGCATACAAGAGGAAGTTTGCATAGTCAGCCTGTGAAACTTGTTGCTCTGGAATGATATGAAGACCAAAAGTATAACTAGGTCCAAAAAAGAATGAGTCAAGTTAGTGGACGATCAGTCTATAATGGCTATTAGCAAAAAAAGTCAAAGTAGTATGCTTCAGGTATCTCTAAATCTCCAACTTGCAAAAGCTGAGACTGGATAATAGGATGGATTATGCAAAATTGCCCCTTTCTGTTCATCCCCCTCTGAAACATCTGGCATTGGCCACTCTTGGAATAAAGGATATTGGACTAGATGGAGCATTGGTCTGGAGCACGGTCTGTCTTATGTACTCAAAATGAATTAGGAAGTACTGTACCAATCTGTTTTAGGTTTACAAACAAACTTTTTTTAGCAATACATTAGTGTCTAGGAGAATTTCCAGAGATTATGTAATCAGTATGTATATGAGGTTTAGCTGAACAACCTAATGTTGAGGCTCCTGATTGTGAGAAACTATTTTTAAAAGAAGAGAAATTTGTCTTATCTTTGCAAATTTATAATTCCCATCAAATGTCGGGATCTAAACCAATAAATACTAGGGTATGTCTGTCCTTGTTTTGTACGTACCCTAATTGTACTTTTCAAACATTTTTGGGAAAAGTGAGGGGAGTTTGTAATAAAATATTTTATACTAGATGTGATTTGTATGTTTCTGGATTTTTCCCAGAAGACAAGATTTGGTTTCTTTTACATACACAAAGTTTGACTGCTTAATCTAGAAGCTGCTGTTTTTACCTTTTATGCTTCTGTAAAACTGCAATTTTTCTCTATATCTAAAAATATAGGTTGGCTGTGTCTAGACTGGCCAGTTTTTCCGGAAAATCAACCGCTTTTCCGGAAAAACTTGCCAGCTGTCTACACTGGCCACTTGAATTTCCACAAAAGCACTGACTTCCTACTGTAAGCAATCAGTGCTTTTTGCGGAAATACTATGCTGCTCCCGTTTGGGCAAAAGTCCCTTTTGCGCAAAACTTTTGCGCAAAAGGACCAGTGTAGACAGCTGAGATTTGTTTTGCGCAAAAAAGCCCCGATCACGAAAATGGCGATCGGGGCTTTTTTGCGGAAAAGCGCGTCTAGATTGGCCACAGACGCTTTTCCGCAAAAAATGTTTTTGCGGAAAAGTGTCCGTGCCCATCTAGACGCTCTTTTCCGAAAATGCTTTTAACGAAAAAAGCATTTCCGGGAAATCATGCTAGTCTAGACGTAGCCACTGATAAGTCTGAGTTTGCAGAATTTCACAAATAATTCTTAAAATGTTGTTGTATAGCCTGATGATGATTTTTTTTGGTTAGCTCAGGCGTTCCAAATATCTAGATGTTAACTTTTAATTTTGTTAGCTTAATGATAAGGTATCCTTTTTTAATAAATATTCCTAAAATGCATGTTGACTATTCCTCAAATCTGTGGTTTCTTTACACCTTTGGGTCATAATCCTGCAAAAGCTTCTGAACAAATTACTACTGTTACTACAAGTTGCACCTTCCAAAACCATGAGGTGTACCGAACTACCTAGTTCGTGCCCCGTGTAGCCGCGCTGCACGGGGTTCGAACGAGCGGGGTTTTAAAAATGGCGGTGCCCCGCTTATGCAAATGAAGCCCGGGAAATTCAAATCCCGGGCTTCATTTGCAAGTGCGGTATGCCTACATTACCCTGCTAGTTCGAACTAGCGGGGTAGTGTAGACATACCCTTACTGAAAATGAAGGTACTTGGGTGGTGATGGTGGCTGGTTGGATGATGGGGAAATAAATTTGCCCTTTTAATGACTTCCTAATCTAAAGAAGGATAGTTTAATTCCTTTTGACATGTGAATATGTGCTGCTTGTTCATATGGATCTTAATTTTCATTATAGAATCTTTGCTTTTTTACTACCACTTTGGGAAATAGAAATAAAACTTTTCTTGTGATCGCTTACTAATTTTGATTCCGTATTTTTCTATATTTACTTTCTTGGCTCAGAACTGGATTTTTATTTGCTTCTATTTTATCATAATAAACCAGTAATTCATGAAAGGACTACATGTGTAATCATTTTCTTTTAACGTATCCCTTTCTTTAGTAGATTCCAAGAAATTCTAAAAAGTTTGTTTATAAACCGGGAGGAAATCAGAAAGGAATACCTCAAGCTAGAAATGCGACTTAAAGAGAATATTTTGAAAACGTATTACCAGAAACAATTCCATGAACAAATTGAGTTGGTGTGCTCTCAAGACAGAGTAGAAAAGGTGAGTGATTTTTGTATCACTTCATTTTGCCGTGTTACTGTACAGAACCTCTATTTTGACATTTTTATCTTTAATCTAGATCAACTATCTAACCTTTTGTGTACAAGTGTCTTCAGCTTCTGAATTGCACTTTTAAAAGTGATGGAGACCTCTAAGAATCAGAGACTTGTTAAAGATCAGTAAGACTTGGAAATCTAATTTACTTGCTTAAATTAAATGTAGGCTTTTAAATCAATTGAATTGTTTTAAATGTATTACTTCAGTCAGGAGTATTAATGTTAAGTGTATCTGCTTTTAGTACAAAAATTGTATATTTTTTAATCCATTATATATGTTTTAGTGTGTGTGAGCAAGTCGGTTTTATTCAAGAATTCCTCTTATTCAAGAACTCCTCCTAAACTATAAGAGCTAGAATCACCAAATTTGGTATGCAGCTTCTTCTTACATGAATTTAAACCAAGGTCAGAGTTTGGTTGTGCTCAGAAAACACAAAGTGCCAGGAATGGGACTGTTCTTCAAGTGATTGTTTGTTCCATGTAGGTGCGCGCCTGTCGCATGCACAGGTTGTCAGAAGGTTTTTCCCCTCGGCGGTACCTGTCAGACCGACAGTGAGCCCCCTAGAGTGGTGCCTGCATATGCACTCATATAATCCTCTGTCGGCCCACAACCCCTTCAGTTCCTTCTTACTGCCTGTGATGGTCATTGGAACTTCCCATGCATTGCCAGCAGTAGTTGTAGCTAGTTTTTCATTTCCAGTTTTTCAAGTTAACTCTTACTAGAAGAGCTGAAAACATTAGTGTTTCTATTGGGTTGGGGTTTGCCTACTGCGTTCCCCTTCCTAGGGGCATGCTTGGGCCCCAAGGGCCCCTGCGCAGACTGCCTTAAGCCTGTGACGTGTGTGGACCCACACTATTTGTGCCTTAAGTATTTGGGCGAGTCTCATATCTTCAACAGATTTTTACAATTAGCGGAGCTTCAAACCCCAGACATAGCAAGAGAGTGATTCACACCCCAACATTCTTCTGATGGAATTGGCACTCCATCCAGCACTGGCCACAGACTTGGCACCTGCTTCCTATAGCGCACCATCTTCGGTGCAGGAGGCACCGGGGCTGACTGATTCCTCTTGGGTGTTAACTCCCAGCACTGCTCGCAGTCACCGGTAGTGGAAAAGAAGAGGTCGGACAGAGACAGATCTGTCACATCATGCATCCAGAGTATGCCCTCAGTCAGGGAATTCCAATGTCTCCACTTTGGCCTCAAGGCCTGTTGCTCGAGGGCTCTCTGAGTACCACTTGAGCGTCCCCCAGGATCCCATACCTGAAGAGGATCCCGTAATGGTGAACCTCCCTTTGACCCTGACCACTTTTCAGCTGGAGAGGTGATAGAATTCATTTCTTCCTTTGCCTCCCGTGCCGGCACACTCAAGGCTCAATCCAGTACCGACACGTTGGCCGCGTCTGAGGCTAGCTGATGCGCTTCGAAGTCTGCACCAGCTTCGACACCAGTGGTGCCGACACCCTGGCCCGTGCACATCCATCAGCACTGGCCACGACCTCAGCCTCTGGAGAGGGCATGGTACTGAGCACCTCTGCATCGGCAGCATCAGCCACAGCACTGGGGCACTTAGTGCCGTCACTGCCTACCCGGCACTGGAGCAAGCCTGCAGCTATGGTCCAGCTAGTCTCTGGACCCATCGTCTGCACTGCTGTGCTAGGGGGTGAACTATTTGTCAGACTCTGACATTGGATCCGTTGGTCCCGGGATATGGCTTCTCCAGTCTTGGCAACATTTCTTCTCGGGCACTGCTTTTGTTCGGGACACTGTTCCTGACACCATAGTACCTCAGTGCAGACTGTGCAGCAGACATGCTCCTCCTCTCCCCATTGTCAATCCCCAGCCCAGTGGCCTTTTTGGATCCCATGGGCCTACCATCAGTCCCAGAGGTGGTGTCCCCTCCAACATGGGCTCCACCTTTTCACTGGAGCTGCCTTACACCCCAGCACAGGACCACGGGCGCTTGACACACAGAGTCCACCACACCTTCTTTGGAAGGGGTAGATGAGCTGTGCCCTTGAAGGTTGCCTGACCAGTCAGTGGTGTCCCAGGACTCAGAGCATCTGCTAGAGCATGAACACCCTGCTTCTAGGGAGTATTCATCATCTTCCTCAGATGAGGCCTTGGAAGTGGCATCGCTCTCCATGCCATTGTTGGACTCCCGGATTTACTAAAACATTTGGCCCAAAGCCTGGGAGTGCAGGTTGAACGAGTCTTGAAAGATTCTGAACCAGCGGTGGAGATTCTGAATGTGGAAGGCCAGTCTAGGGTGGCTCTTCCACTGAATAAGGGAACTTGTTAACGCTTACTTCGCAGCTAAACATGAAAAGTCTCCTAGTGTTTCAATTTAGATGTGATACACAGTTACTACTTCGAGATCTGACTAGACAGAACATATCCATGCTGCTTCTGTGCAACCACAAACTTACCAACATGGCAGCACACCTGGCATAGCTACTTGGCTGGAAAGTCTGTTTGTAGCACTGTACTGGCAAGCATGATCAAGCTCCATATCAAACTTTTCTACCACCGGGTTGACAAAGGAAAGATAAACATTTTTAAAGCAGTTCTGTCAGTGGCCTTGAAGTTCAGTATCCTTTGGCCTGTATTTCAAATGGCTGATCCTGTTCAGAGTTTGCTACCCTAATCTTTTAACAGGAAATCCAAGAATAGGCAATAAAGCCTGAAAACCTTCAATCTTAATTTAATTTCTGAATATAGAATTAGTTTTTCCTCTATTTAATTAGTTGTTGAAACAAAATTTAACTGACAACAATTTCAAGTTTCCATTGTGTGTCGGGATTCCCTTGAAAATTTACACTTGTTATGAATAGTGTCCTAGAAAAAAATACACTGCTATTTCAGAAATCTTGTTCTTGTCACAAATAATGTTTCAAGTGACTAATATATTCCAAAAGTTTTTCACATTGCAATTTGCAGTGAATTGAATTTTGAAGTAGTACTTTAAAACATTATTTTATCCTGGATCATAATTTCTCAAGCCCCTATTACAGTGGAATATTTACAATATGGCTCTCCATTATTAGAGCAATAGATAAAGTTAAGACTTGCTTTGCTTTTGAAGCGTGAGTGCTCTAAGATCTGTGCAATTACTCAGATTAGTCTTGAAGTTTAATATGCTGTATGGGATATAGTCAGTGATGCAAGTATGGGGCCATTTGACCAAAGGGATTCCAAGATCAGCTTTTTTCTCCCTCAGTGGCTGTAACCTTCTGACTGTGTTTGGTTTTTTTGCTCCGAGATCAAACCAGTGCTCAGTTATTACACCAGGGACTCCAATTCCCTACCTCCTTTTGCGAGCCAGTACAAGGAATTTCTGTCGTCCTGGTAGGGAATTCAGAATTGTGAGAGTGCACTGCTGAGACTGAGGTGAGGAGCTGAGAATGGGTAGGCACGATACACCAGAAACATTTTGAAGGCAGGGACAGGGAGCAGGAAACACCCACTGACGTGAATGAAGCAGCTCTCAACTGTTTTTGTAGCACTTCCCATGTAGCACTTAGATAGGAAGGGTTCTCTCAATTCTTCATGGGAATGTGGGGGAGTTCTACCCCTTTTCAGGAGTCTGAATCCCTCTCCTGCCTGATGTGTGTCCTAGGATCTGCTCTTCTTGTGGGTACCTGAGCCCTTCTTCCTGCTTTGCATGTGAGTTTGTATCAGGAGGTGGACTAACACAAATTTAAATATCTGAAATCCAGAAAAGAAATAGTTACGGGACACATCACTCCTGTGTAGGGACTGGGTGGGAAGCTCAGGCTACATACCCATGGCAACATTGAGCCTGCCAGTAAGCTATTCTCTGTGAGATAGAGATTAGAGATAGAGATTAGAGATAAGAGATAGATATTCAGTAGCATAAAGCAGGAGACAGCAAGGAACAACTTTTTCAGTGTTAAGCCATTACTTGGCATGCAGGAGTCATTAATGGAATGGAAAGGGAAGAGAGAACTGGAAATGTTGGTGGCAGGGGCTACATATTGCAGTGAATGGTGAGGCATAGGGTGAAGAACCATATAGATAGACCAGTCCCCTCTTTCTCTCTCAAAATGACTGTAACAATCATGTCCAAAAAGTGAAAATATTTTGGAACAGAGACAATGAATACAAGACCTATTAACAGCTACACACTGCAAACATTTCAAAGGATGACCATTATTGCCATTGTGAAATAGCAAAATACACAGGAGGGGTAAAGAGCACTGAGGAATCACATATAGTTAGTGTGTGGCTCAAAAGAAAAGACTAAAACTTCCTGGATGACTGTGTGGGAAATCATTTCACTTCTCTGTGTCTGTTTCCCATCTCTAAAATGGGGATAATGAAGTCAAGTTAAAAATTTAACAACCGTTTCATACTCTTATAACCTTTTACACTTGAACACAAGGTATCACTGTTGGCCATACCAATAGCAAAAAGGTCCCGGTGCCCTGCTACTGACAGTCATACATTTCTGCATTTTCCATGGCCAGAAGTGACTATTATAATAATATAATCCGAACTCTTGTATAACACAGGCCAGATGTAAACTGGAACCCTTTTCCTTTGATGACACACCTAGGGTGCTGTCAGACCCAGATCTGCTCAGACCAACATCACAGCTCATTCACACGACCCCAGTTTATTTCTTCACTATTCAAAACAACTACACCTAACATAATGAATGCACATGTAGTTCTGGAAGATAAATTCCCAAAGCCTATTGCTAACTTCAGGAGTACGGAGTTAAAATAGTGTGGGCACTTACCTTAATTCTGTATTTCCTGGTGCTCACAAATTTGAGGTTTGCTAGACTCTGTGTTCTCAAGGGCCATGAGATATCACCAGGCAACCTTAACTCTGATTTAATCAAGGTGTTTTGTTTTTCAGTCATTTCAGTCAAACATTTTGTTTAAACTGATTGGCTGTGTCTAGACTGGCAAGTTTTTCCAGAAAATCAGCAGCTTTTCCGGAAAAACTTGCCAGCTGTCTACACTGGCCGCTTGAATTTCCGGAAAAACACTGACAATCTCATGTATGATCGTCAGTGCTTTTCCGGAAATACTATGCTGCTCCCGTTCGGGCAAAAGTCTTTTTCCGAAAGACTTTTGTGCAAAAGGGCCAGTGTAGACAGCACAGTACTGTTTTCCGCCAAAAAGCCCCGATCGCGAAAATGGCGATCAGGGCTTTTTTGCGGAAAACCGCATCTAGATTGGCCACAGACACTTTTCCGCAAAAAGTGCTTTTGCAGAAAAGCATCCTGCCAATCTAGATGCGCTTTTCCGAAAATGTTTTTAAACGGAAAAGTTTTCCGTTAAAAGCATTTTTGGAAAATCATGCCAGTGTAGACGTAGCCATTGTGAATAGGGATGTCTGCATGTACTCAACTATACACAACAAGCCTAGGCTTACTGGTTAATCTTCTTGACTACACACATTTCCTCACCTCCTTGCTATGTCTGCATCAGAGGTAGTTTTGGGGGGGGGGAACAGGAGCTGGTGCTGGGGTGACCCAACTTAAAACTGTTTCCACTCCCACCAACACTGGCTCTGCAGAGCTGCCAGCGGCCCCCTCCCTCTCCACGTGCACTGCTGCCTTTATCAGTCAGTGGAGGGGTGGGACAGGGGAAGCTGCCACAAAGCAGCTTCTGTCAGTGAGGGGTTCAAGCTCCCTGCAGAGCAGCCTCTGTTTATGGGGAGCTCAGACCTCCTACAGACAGAGGCTGCTGCCACCCTGCACTGCTGCCTGTGTATCAAAAGCAGCAATGCATGGCAGCAGGCAGGGAGTTGGTTTTTTAATTGGCTCCCCTCGTGGGCTGGCTCCCCCAGTAGTAAGGCTGCCAGCCCCACCCCAGGGACTATGGAATAGTCATGTAACTGCAAAGATTTCATGTGCTTACATGACTATTCAGTTACCAGATATCTAACATCCTTAGTTGTGAGATCTGCTTAGAAATTTAATACTTGTGCTCTTAAATGTAGCTTTATGATTACAGTTCAGTTTATGATATTGATCTTGGTAGACTCAAGAGCAGGTGTGGGCAATAATTGTAGAAATTTTTGAAGTGGTCCCAGGCTGCTCAAGTGTTTTGCCCCTTTCCCCCCGCCCGGCCCCACCCCACCCCTCAGAGGGAACTGCCAGTGCTCTGAACAGCTGTCAGTTCCCTCTAGGCACCCATGCCTCTGGGGGTGGGAGGAGACTTTTGTGTGCTCTCCTCTGCCCCAAATCAATCAGGGCCTGAGGGCAGGGGAGCATGGGAAGTCTCTCACTCTCTGCCCCTGCCCTGCAAGGAGGCACTGCGCTTGATCAACCACCAGCACGTGCTCCTTGCAGGACAGGAGGAGACTTTGTACACTCCTCCCTGCCCCTGTCCAGCAATGGACGTACGGAGCTTAGTCAGCCCAAGCGGTTGACTCTAAGCACAGCACGCCTCTGGCAGGGGAGGAGACTTTGTGAACTCCCCCATCCCAGGCCCTGATTGGCCTGGGAGCCAGGGAGTGGCAGGGTGTCCACAGGCCGAATCAACCCGCGTGGCCACTCTAATCTTGAAATTGAATGTCGCTTTTAATTTGGTTGGAACAAATTGTATTCTTGTTTCTAATCCAGTTATGTAACTACTTCTGTTTTCTTCTTGCAAAATAGATTTTGGGATGACAGGCGAGTGTCTAAAAGGTCACTTTTCTTAAAGAACTGTTTACATTTATGTATTTTGTTTTCTCTTGATGGTTGTATCCAGTTGCTGTGAAAGTGCAGTATCTAAACCTCTCTTGCTGAAATTTAAGCCCATTGCTGCTTGTCCTATCCTCAAAAGCTAAGGAAAACAGCTTTTTTTTCCTCTTTGTAACAACCTATTATGTACCTGAAATCTGTTATATCCCCTGAGTCTTCTCTTCTCCAGACTAAACAAACCGAATTCTCTCAGTCTTCCGTTATAGATCATGCTTTCTAGACCTTTAATCATTTTTGTTGCTCTCTTCTGATCCTTCTCCAGTTTGTCCACATCCTTCTTAAAATGTGTGGGTTTTTTTGACTCAATAATCCAGCTGAGACCTTACCAGGGTAGAGTGGAGCAGAAGAATTACTACTTGTAATTCTGGACCACGGATGCTGCTGGACCAGAGAGCCTCAGCGGCAGTCAGCTGGGAGTTTGGCAGCCCCAGGGTTTGGCAGTGGAGCCCAGCTGACAGCCACTGGGGGCAGCTATTAGTTTTCCCATCCCAAAAGCTGCTGGAAGCCAGAAGTGCAGTTTAGCTATTCAGCCTGGCTGCCCTGGGGTCAGAAGCATAGCCTGACTGGCGCCGCAGGAAGCTGAGAGTGAAGTTGGTGGCCAGAAGGGGAGCTGGCCTGGTGGCCAAGGCCCTCGAGAGAGCCCAGATCTCTGCCAGAAGGGGAGCTGGCCTGGTGGCGTTTTCCCATCCCAAAAGCTGCTGGAAGCCAGAAGTGCAGTTTAGCTATTCAGCCTGGCTGCCCTGGGGTCAGAAGCATAGCCTGACTGGCGCCGCAGGAAGCTGAGAGTGAAGTTGGTGGCCAGAAGGGGAGCTGGCCTGGTGGCCAAGGCCCTCGAGAGAGCCCAGATCTCTGCCAGAAGGGGAGCTGGCCTGGTGGCCAAGGCCCTTGAGAGAGCCTGGATCTCTCCTGGTCTGGCAAACTCCTTTGTCCAGGACCTGTCAGGTCTCGAGGGTGCTGGACCAGGGATCTCCAACTTCTACATCCCAGAATGATGTTTGATGTTACACTTTTTACTCATGTTCAGCTTGTGATCTTCTATTAGACACCTCTCCCCCTAGTCCTTTTCTGCAGTACATCTTCCTAAGCAATCATTTCCCCATTTTGTATTTATGCAACTCATTGTGCCTTCCTAAGTGGAAAACTTTGCATATTTCCATGTTGAATTTCCTCTAACCACCCTGAAAAACCTTTCCATTGACTTCCACACTTATATGTGTTTCCTCTAGTCTCAGAGGACACGTCAGCAATATAAGCTTCCAGAGCTTAGAATGGCTTGGTCTAAGCCACTTGTTGCATCCATCTACATACTAGCTCCTCTCTGGTAAGCCTTAACCACCATGCTGGTCTGTGTCCCTTGTCCAACATACTTTCCCTGGGCTCAGACCACAAGAGACTTAAATATAGGAAGAGGTTGCAAGAGGGTACACCTCCATCTCTTTTACCCTTGTTTTCAGTCCCCTTGTTTTCCACCCTATATAGTTTTTTCTCTCAATCTCTTCCCTCCACCTCCTTTACATTAGGGATGGCATTTGAGGAAATTGGAGTTGAAACTTTATTGGTTTTGTCCTTCGTTTTTTTTCTTATGTATCTAAGGCCTTAGTTATACTGACAAGGTAAGTCTAAGTTACACTAGTTAAGTTATGTAATTTTAAGTTGACGGAGCTTAGATCAACTTGCAGTGATGTCTACGTAACGCCATGTCAGTGGCAGACGCTCTCCCAGCAACTTAGCATCCACCTTTCAGGCAGACAGAGTACTGAAGTTGACAGGAGAGTGCTCTCTCATAGACTTATTACATCTTCACCATACCTGCTAAATTGACGCAGTTGCATCAATTGCAGCGCCAATTTAGCCTGTAGTGAAGACAAGTTCTAAATGTAATTATGCTGTCAAATAGGGAGCAAGGGTAAGAGCGCACAAATTCTTGGCTCTTTTTTTCCATTCTTCATTAACTAGTAACTAGACAGCGATACCTGTGCAATTTTTCTAGCCATGTTTAACAGTTTACTTTAGTCTCAAAAGTCCCACTGAAAAGTCTTTAGAGGGAAAAGAGCTACAAATAGATTTGAGTAGTATACTTAGGAAGAGTGTTCTCCTTTACAAATATTACATAGATCAAAAACTATGTAAATTGTTTTGACTACATCTACCCAATTACAGAAGCCTGCAAAGTGTCTTTCATAACAGAATTCAGTGAATATTATATGGTAGTTTCCCATTAAATTATTGAATATGCTGTTATTTCAGGCCACTTGTAAACGGGATCATAGACTCGCAATGCTTGAAACTCGTCGTTTGCATGTACAGAAGAAGAGAGAAGACGAGATGAAACGCTTTGAGGAGAATACGAGCTGGCTGCATCGTGTGGAAAATGAAATGCGCCTCTTGGGTCATGATGGCCATATTCCACAGGTAAAAGGGCTTCTCTTTCAAAGGTAGAGTTCAGATATTCTAGTCAAACATGCTTATAATATGGGCCTGGGCAAAATACCCTTCACAGGCTGGGTCCAGCCCACCAAGCCACCAGATCTGGCCCATGGATGCAGACTCCCTGCTTGCCCTGTGTCCCCTCTCCCACAACACTGCTAAGAAAAGCGCCTGCCCCAGCCATGTCTTTTGCTCAGATGTGAGCCGAGGGAAGTGATAGTGCTTCACACTCTGCTCCTACACCTAGCACAATTCCATTGGCCAATTTCTGGCCAATGGAAACTGCCAGTTTGAAGAACAGGAAGTGCGCAAAGCATCACTCCCCGTCTCCCCTCAGGCTCTTATTCACCAGTGCACTTATATAAATAAAGTATCTCCTAGAACTGGAAGAGACCTTGAAAGGTCATCGAGTCCAGTCCCCTGCCTTCACAGCAGGACCAAGTACCATCCCTGCCAGATTTTTGTCCCGGATTTCTAAATGACCTCCTCAAGGATTGAGCTCACAACCCTGGGTTTAGCAGGCCAATACTCAAACCACTGAGCTAGCCATCCTGTGTGGGGGTGGGGCAGGCAGGGAGCCTGCTTGAGAAATGTGCTAGGGTGCTGCCTGGGAGTCACACAGGTAAGTCCCCTAGCCAGTGCCTGCGTCTGGCACCCCAGCCTCTACACCCCCCCCCCCAGGCCTCTGCTTTCCCAACTCCTGTCCCTGTACCCCACATAAGCCAAACTGAACTCATACACTCTCCCAGACCCTGCACCCGTCTCCTGCTCTAAGTCACAACCGTCTCCTTCATCCAAACTCCCTCCCAGACCACATATTCACTCCTGCACCCCAGTCCCTTACCCCAAACTCCCCTCTGCACCCAGCCTCCATCCCAGATCAAACACCTCCATTAATATTCTGGAAGAATGAGGCCCTTTACCACTTTCCAAAATCTTGGAATGGCCCCCTCCCCCCCATCAAAAATTATTGCCCACCCCTGTTATAGATTCTTTCCTGTATTTATTTAATTTGTTATTTGCGGGGGGAGACCTTTCAGCTCTGAGAGCAGGGTCATCCGGTATAGTCTCCCTTTTACAAAAAATACAGCAGTTCTTCTTCTAGTGATTCCAATTCATGTGTGCACATGCCACATGCACAAACATCAGAAACTTTTCCCCTAACAGCTTCCTTAGGGTCGGTTGTGGAGACCCCCAGAGAAGCGTTACTCTATCAGCGCATATATACCATTGCTGACCCTACCCTCCGTCCGTTCCTTCTGACCATCTGTGGCGACACTGGAACTGTAGCTAGCTCTTCCTTAGCAAGTGCCTAGTTCCTAGTGATAGCTGCTTTTTTTTTTTTTTTTTTTTTGTCTTCGCCTTATTTTTTTCTCTGTGATCAAGAACTTCAAGCAAATAAAGAGACAGTGGGAAAGTGCCCAAAAATCTCAGTCCCTTGGGATACTGGGGTATGCCTACTTCCCTAGGCTTAAAGCACGCACAGCTTACAAGCACCATATGCCCAACAGCAACCTGCACGGTGTGTGCTTTCACCGCCTGGGTGAAGAACAGTGCACCCGAAAAGTGCAAGATCTGTCGAAGCTTTAAGCGCCTCACTAGAAAGGACAGAGAGTACAGGCTCCAACAGCTCCTGATGGAAGCAGAGCTAAAACCCTCAGGCCGAGAAATTGGCCCCGGGAGCCAGCTTGGTGCAGAGAGCCCCATTCTCGGTAAGAGACGCAGCACAGAAGCCAAGTACGGCAAAGAACTCCTGGTGCCAGAATTCCCTGGCACCGAAGACCAGGTAAGAGACGCAGCACAGAAGCCAAGTATGGCAAAGAACTCCTGGTGCCAGGGTTCCCTGGCACCGAAGACCACAGTGCCAAGACCTGGATCTACCTCACCTGCACCGCGGGGCAGGAGAGAGAACTGGGGTAGATCCTCTCATAGGCCCCACAAAAACAGGACCAGTACAGGAGGTCCAGGATGTTCTGTCAACTCTGGTCCCGAGACTGGTGCCCTTGAATCCGGCATGTGACCATCCACCAAGAGATATGAGCCCGGTGCAGGTCTTGAACTCCCCTTTGATGCCGGACACCTTTGAAGCAGCCATAGATCTGATAGAAATCTTAGAGGCCGAGGCCTCCAGGGCGTTCGATAAACCGCCAAGACTGCACCACTCCAGGGGAAAGCTATAAATGCTCCGTCAACCACAATCCACGGATTGGTACCGGGACACATCTTCCTCCTTGGAGGGTCTGCCATCACTAACACAATGCCCTCCACCACCAGCACAGAAAGAGAGCTCGTCACTGAGCAATAGGCCGGCACTGAGGGATTGAAACTTGGCACAGATATTGGCCTCCAGGTTGAGGTCGTGGTCCAGAAGCCCAAGACGCTGCTCCCTTTCCAGGCCCTCTTGGCACTGTTCAAGGTTCCAGATAGGGTCCCAACTCCCAGCACCGACCCTGGCACCTATATCATCGGCACCGCCGTGATCTTCAGTCAGAATCTGAATCGGACGTGGTACCGTCCAGATCTAGTGCAACTGGTCTTGATGCAGTACAAGGCACCCACCAGCACAGTGGCAGCAGCATTGCCACCACCAGCTCAGTGGCCCTTCTAGACCCCCTGAGCATACCACCAGTCTCAGGGTGCACCTAGGTCAGCACATGGAGCCCCTTGTAGTAAGTTGAGGGAGTGTCATCAGTCAAGGGTGCCTGATGACACCCCTCAGCTCCCAGTGGCTGCTGTTCCCAACTGCAGCAGCAAGAAGTGGCAGCCAACACATTCCTCAGCCCACACTGCTTCCTACAGCTCCCATTAGCCGGGAACAGTGAACTGAAGCCACTGGGAACTCAAGAGCTCTATGCCAGAGGACACTCCAAGTATGGATGTAAAATCCCATTTAATTGGTCGACCAGTAAAATATTAAACGGAGCTGGGTAGGAGCCCATTACAACCCAGCTTCTCCTCCTCTCCCCCTTCTCACCTGCCACAGTAAGGATGATGCTTAACTGGTTAACCGGTTGCCCATTACATCCCTAGCTCCAAGTACAAAAACATCCCAGTGCGTCAGCAGCCTACGCTGATGAGCCAGAAACCAAAGTTTACCAACCTCTGAAATATATGTTTGGCTTATGAAAAGATCATAACAATTTGCCATTTTTATCTTCTTCTTGGGAGGATTCTGTTAATAAATGAACTGGCTAATGAATGAGTACATATGTATTCCTTGCTATTGCAAGGGTTTCAGGCATTTGATACACAATAGTTTAATCTAGCGCGGGATTAACATGTTAATTTTTCTAACGTGTTAATCTCAGGCGTTAATACTGTGCATTAGGAGCCTGGGATCAGCTGGAGTCCCCACCTGACCGCAGGCTCTGTGCAGCGCTGCCCCTTGGAAGCGCCATGGCAGCCTTTCCAGGGGGCAGCTGCACTGAGCCTTGGGGTCAGCTGAAGACTCCAGCTGATCCTGGGCTTCCACTGCACTGCCCCTTTGAAACGCTGCTGCAGTGTTTCAAAGAGGTAGCGCATGCGATTAATTGCCATTAATTTTTTTTAATCGCTTGACAGCCCTAGTTTAATTTTTTTTTAATCGCTTGACAGCTCTAGTTTAATCCCCTGTGAACTGTAATATTTTGGTATAATTTTCATAATTTTCTTTCACACATGCTGGGTAGTGGTAAGTGACCTGTCATATACAAAATGTTCAGAATAGATGACCTAGTGGTCCTTAAATTCAATGAATAAAAAAAAATGTAGAATAATTTGATATGGAGAAGGTAAGTGTTATTGTGCATATCTGTAGTCTTAACTATGTGCAGCACGCAAATCTGTTTGTGAATGGACCTCTGTTAGACATAGCAGTGAAATAATAACATGAATTAAATTTTACTTCTACTGTAAGATGTATTAAGTTAAAGGTTAGTATTGGCATAGTTATAGTTCAGTGTTTCTGAAAGAGATCTGCAAAACCACTCAGAGAAACCAGCTAACTAGCCACTCTGGTGTGTTTATTTACTGTCTCTGGTTCTCCGTTTGCAGCCAAGGGGAGTCACGGGAAGCAGCAGCCCAGCCCACGCCGCTTCCCGCATTTTCTCTTGGCTGCAAACGGTGAACTGGAGTTAATGGGAGCCACATGGCTACGGAGCCGGTAAATAAACACACCGGAGTGTCCAGTTAGCAGGTTTCTCAGAGTGGTTTCATGTAGCACTTGAAGAGAAACTGTTACAGATAAATTGCAAAACTATTTTTCAAGGCATTGCATGCTAATCTCTTAAAATTCTTTTTAGACTGAATTTGTATGTATTGTAGTGACTTTGAAGTAATATCTTATGTAACTAATTTCTCAAGATGCTCCGTAAAGATCTTCACTGCTGCCATTTAAAGCTCGAGGCCAAGGATCTGAAAATGCAGATTGAGCATATGATGTCACTAGTATCACTTCAAGAGCAGCAACATAAGCAAACAGAAAAGTAAGTCTGTGTGTGTATATCATGCTTGACATGTGTGTTCCTCTCCAACCTTGTAAATATATATAATACATGTATAGATTTCAGTGAGTTTCAGGGGGAAATGGCTTCATAATTTTCCAGACTTTTATCTAAACTGTTGTAAATTCTGTAACACAAAATATATTACTGTATAATGGAGAATATCCTTAGCATAGCATTCTTGTAATGTTCAACAAAAATATTGAAGATTCCCTCCTCCCTCCAGTATTCCTTTAATAAAAGGTAATAATCAGGTATTCTGACCTGTAAACAATTAAGTTTATATTCAGCTGCAGTGGTCAAATTTCTAAGATCATATTGCATCCAACCTATTTTTCTTATTTGTAAATCTCTCTGGTATTGCAAGCATAAAGAGCTTTTAAAGAACTAAATATTGTTGATACTTCTGTTTGAAGGTTGGGTTGCCACTGAATTAAGTCAGCCCAAATTACTAGTATACTTCCAAAAGAGAATTGCTTAAAATATAGCTTTTTTTTTTTATTTTGTTACCATTGAATTTCCAGAGATGTTAGATTTTTTTCCTTTCTTTGTTGTCAAATTTCATCTGTTGTAGTATGCTTGCTTTTATTGACAACAGAAAACAGGAGTTGAGTAAAGAGTATTACATATTAAGACCAAGATTAAGGTACAGTTACCTCCAAGTAGCAAAGGGATGGGGTGTGAACGCAAGATATTTTCATTCATTGATGCAAAGGTCCATTCATGGCTGTTAGCCAAGATGGGCAGGAATGGTGTCCCCTGCCAGTATTTGTCAGAATCTGGGAAAGTGACGGAATGGATCACTTTATGATTACTCTTCTGTGCATTCCTTCTGAAGCACCTGGAATTGGCCATTGTCAGACCTGGGACTGGGCTAGATGGACTTTTGGTCTGACCCAGTACAGCCATCATTTTATGTTGTTACATTCATTTACAGTTCAGACAGTCTTTATCACTGCCCTACTGAGTACATGTATTCTAGAGAATCCCTAGCTCTATACCTGATGTTCCTTGTTCCACTTTGCCCCCTGTTCAGTGTAGCATAGGAGCAGACTGCAGTGATACCCATAGACTTGATAAAGGATGCTTATATAATTTCTATATCTATATCAAGCAGTAAGATTAATGTTTATAAATTTATATTAACTTGTAATATTCCTGTGCCTTAAGGTGCATCAGCATAGCAAAAGCTTGGTTACATGGTTAACCTACCTGAGCTGGGTTAATTCAGCTATCCCAGGTAAGAATAGCAGTAGAGATAGGTTATCAAGTAGAGTATGCAACCAGGATTTGTGCTGGGCTCATACTGCCCACATTTTGCTATCTTCATAATGTAAGCTAGCTTGCATATAGGTTTTGTTATGTTGGCATTCCCTTACACTTACAAGGTATTGGATGATAAAATCAGCTAACCCATGTAAACTGCCACTTCAGCAAACGCATGCTGAATAAGCAAACCTGCAAAACATTAGACTGCAAGTCTGGTTCATGTCTTAGATGTTATATGAAAAGTGAACACTACCACTGTGATGCATGATTGAAAATAATTGAATCAAAAAAAGTTCTATGTTGGTTATCTGAAGAGACACATAATTGAAAAATAAATGTCAGAGCTATATCAGTAGCCAAGTTCTGTATGGGGCTTTAGTACTTGACACAAGTTAATTATGCTTCTTTCAAATTCAATCAAACACTAATGCTGCTCAATCAACTGTAGACTTTAAGCCAGTAGGAACCAATGTGGTCACGTCTAATTTGCTACATATTGCTGGACATTGAACCTTGCCCACCCACTCTCTATTTTAAACCTGCACATGACTTGGACCCCAATTTGTAGAGGTAGGCGAAAACTTTGAGGGGTTCTGCCAACAGTAGCTTATATGTTCTAACAGTGGTAGTTCATAGCTAGATTACTGTTGACTAGACTAACATTTTTATTTAAAGACAAAACATAAGAACGGCCATACTGAGTCAGACCAAAGGTCCATCCAGCCCAGTACCCTGTCTGCCAACAGTGGCCAATGCCAGGTGTCCCAGAGGGAGTGAATAGAACAGATAATGATCAAGCAATCTCTCTCCTGCCATCCATCTCCATCCTTTGACAGAGGCTACGGACACCATTCCTTACCCGTACTGGCTAATAGCCGTTTATGGACTTAACCTCCATGAATTTTTAAACCCTGTTATAGTCCTAGCCTTCACAACCTCCTCAGGCAAGGAGTTCCACAGATTGACTATGCGCTGTGTGAAGAAGAACTTCCTTTTTTTGTTTTAAACCTGCTGCCCGTTAATTTCATTTGGTGGCCCCTAGTTCTTATATTATAGGAACAAGTAAATAACATTTTCTTATTCATTTTCTCCACACCACTCATAATTTTATAGACCTCTATCATATCACCCCTTAGTCTCCTCTTTTCAAAGCTGAAAAGTCCCAGTCTCTTTAATCTTTCCTCATATGGGACCTGTTCCAAACCCCTAATCATTTTAGTTGCCCTTCTCTGAACCTTTTCTAATGCCAGTAGATGTTTTTTGAGATGTGGGCATACCATGGATTTATATAAGGGCAATAAGATATTCTCCACCTTATTTTCTATCCGTTTTTTTAATTATTCCTAACATCCTGTTTGCTTTTTGACTTCCGCTGCACACTGCCTGGAAGTCTTCAGAGAACTATCCATGATGACTCCAAGATCTCTTTCCTGATTATTTGTAGCTAAATTAGCTCCCATCATATTATATGTATAGTTGGGGTTATTTTTTCCAATGTGCATTACTTTACATTTATTCACATTAAATTTCATTTGCCATTTTGTTTCCCAGTCACTTAGTTTGGTGAGATCTTTTTGAAGTTCTTCACAGTCTGCTTTGGTCTTAACTACCTTGAGCAGTTTAGTATCGTCTGCAAACTTTGCCATCTCACTGTTTACCCCTTTCTCCAGATCATTTATGAATATGTTAAATAGGACTGGTCCTAGGACTGACCCTTGGGGAACACCACTAGTCACCCCTCTCCATTCTGAACTTTTACCATTTATTCCTACCCTTTGTGTCCTATCTCTTAACCAGTTCTCAGTCCATGAAAGGATCTTCCCTCTTATCCCATGACAACTTAAGTTACGTAAGAGCCTTTAATGAGGGACCTTGTCAAAGGCTTTCTGGAAATCTAAGTACACGATCTCTACTGGATCCCACTTGTCCACATGTTTTTTGACCCCTTCAAAGAAATCTAATAGATTAGTAAGACATGATTTCCCTTTACAGAAACCATGTTGACTTTTGCTATTCTTTACTGTTGTTTCAACTAATTTGCCCAGTACTGACGTTAGACTTACCGGTCTGTAATTGCCAGGATCGCCTCTAGAACCCTTTTTAAATATTGGCATTACATTAGCTATCTTCCAGTCATTGGGTACAGAAGCCGATTTAAAGGATAGGTTACAAACCGTAGTTAATAGTTCTGCAATTTCACATTTGAGTTCTTTCAGAACTCTTGGGTGAATGCCGGTCCCGGTGACTTGTTACTGTTAAGTTTATCAAGACATTTATCTTGGATTTTCTTTGTTTGTTTGTAGAGTACTAAATACTTTGCTTCCAGTTCTAAGAAAACAGTATTTCACCTTGAAAGAAGCCGGGATGGCAAATGGTATTATAGAGGCTAATTACAAGGAGATTGAACAGCTAATTCAGAGACCAAAAATGGTAGTTTGGGCTGACCAATCTGTTGAAGAGGAACCAAAACAAAATGATCAGCCAGAGATGTCTGTTATCCTGGCTTTTCCACAACTTGCAAGCCATCCAAATACTCCTTGCCGTAAGTATATAATTCATTTCTAATAAACATAATTTTAAATCTTGCTCCAAAAAGCCATGAATGATTGGGATAGATCACTTATATTTGTATTTGATCTACTTACATCTAGGCAAAAACTGAAACCTAGTGCTTAAACATAACAACCCATCTTGTATCATTCTGAGACCAGGGGAAATTCTTTCCTGCATATACATTTTCTCTGTATCCAGAGAAGTAGCTGATTCCTGACCATCGTTGTGCACCAAAAGTTTGGGTAGTTAATGTGACTTTTTTGGGATAGATGGCAATTTAGGAAACTTAGTTCACCACAAAAAATGCAGGCATAACCTCCTACCATAGCATCTGAGCTTACATGCTTGTTCCTTTTAGGGTTGTGATTGGGCAACCAGTTACCTGGTAAGCATCACCCTTACTAGGTGATGCTTACCGGGTACTGGTTAACTGGTGCCTCAGAGCAGCCCCATGGGATGGCGGGACCAGGAGCCTGCCGGTGGTGGCAATCCAGGGCTGAGAGCCTGCTACCAGTGACGGCAGCACCAGAGCCGGGAACCTCCTGCTGCCGGTGGCAGCAACAGCCCCAGGGCCAGGAGCCCACTTAGTCAGTTAACAAGTTAAATGTTAGGTTGACCTAATGTTTAACCGATTAACTGATGAATCGGGATTTTACATCCCTAGTTCCTTTCAAGCTTGGTTTACATTTCAGAGCTACTTATGCAAGGAAAAGAACTAAAAATCTCCCCTTTTTTAAGCAAAAACTTAGTTTTTTTCCCCCTTTACATTTAATTCCGACCAATTCCAATAATCAGAGGGTTCATGGCTTCATGTGGTTTGGGGCTGAAAATTTGCTCAATTTCTTTACACTGCAATTATGGACATTTAATCACATTAATCTACACTGCATTCTGAGGTGTCCTATCAAAATGTTAATCAGTTATCAATAAGTTTGAGCATTTTGATAAGCCTAGAATGGAATGTTAAGTTAATTTAACAAATGCTCTTACTCTGGCTATTGGTTGACATGAATCAGACATTTTGTGGGTATTGCTAATGTTGTTGGAACTTCAGCCATTTTTTGGCGGTTCACGTAGGGTGGTGGTTGTGGTGGTGGTGATAGTGGTGGTATTACTTTTGCTTATATTTCTTCTTCGAGTGCTTGCTTATGTCCACTTAACATAAGTGTATGTGCCTGCTACATGGACGGTGCCAGAAAATTTTCCTAATCAGTATCTGTAGGGACTGAAGTGTGCACATGTCATGCTATGTAGGACACTCCCCAACCCATCTCTCCTCAGTTCCTTTTACCACCAGTCACACTACTTGGAACATCATGCTTCAGCCTTAGCTGTAGCTAGCAATTCCCTGATCCTGTTGTTTGTAAATAGTTCTGTCATTAGCTTAAGTACTTGTCAATAGAGTTCAACTCTTGATTCTCCCAGAGACCTTGCCTGGGGAATGGGGAATGTCCTGCTCTCCTGGCTTCAGTGCCTACACTACCCATCACAGACCTATGCTAGTCAGCAACCCACATGCTGACTGCCTTCGCTGCGTGGGGAAAGGACGTATCTTGAACAAGTGTAGAATTTGCAGGTCCTTCCATCCCAGAAACATTAAAGAAAGCAGCATTTGACTCCAGGCACTTCTAATGGAGTCTGCACTTGCTCCACAAGACCAAAGGTTGAACTCAACACTGGTGCGTAGTGCACCACCGTCATCAATGGTTTGGCACCATTTGCCACCTACGGCCTCAGTGAAGAAAGCTAGAATGCTGGGCAGAGAAGTCCCCGCATAGACATGGGGGGGACCAGTCGGCCGACAGGCAGGAAAAGGCCCAGACAGCACTGAGCCCTCCTACCTGGTCACTTGGTCACTTTCCTTGGTGCTGGAGGTTCATCTTCCCACCACACTGAAGGCTTTCCAGGCTGTGCAGGACATTCATACCATTCTGGTGCCTCCACTCCAGCACCGATGGGACCTTTGTTCATGGAAAACCAGCCATTTGTCCCTTTGTCACCAGGTACCATTTGGTCCTTTGGTTCGCTCTTCTCTGGCATCTGAGAGGAGAGGATCTTGAAGAACCCAGAGGTGCATCAGAGAGAGGCCAGGGCATATCGCACGGTTCCCCATGTCACTGGAGTCAGTGTACAGACCTCCAGAGGTACAAACCCCCCACCCAACTCCCCCGGCACCACTGGCACTGGAGAGATAGTGGAGCCTCCTCATGAGCATCTCCTCTAGGAGGAGGTCTAGAAGCTCTTAACCCTAGGGGCAGTCATAGAGGTTCCCCGGGGTTCCTGGGCAGGGGTTTCTACTCCTGGTACTTCCTGGTTCTCAAGGCCAAAGGAGGGTTCGGCCTATCCTGGATCTCAGAACTCAATGCCTTCGTCACCAAAGCCAAATTCAAGATAGTGACTCTGGCGTCTATCATCCCCTCCCTAAGTCCCGAGACTGGTACACTGCCTTCGATCTAAAAGCTGCCTACATCCATATTTCTATTGCACTGCACCATAGACAGTTCCTCCACTTTACAGTGGTTCAGGACTATCATCAGATTGTGGCTCTCCCTTCTGGCCTTTCTACGGCCGCTCAAGTGTTTGTGAAGTGCATGGCCGTTGTGACCACTGCTCTGAGAAAGTGGGGTGTCCAGGTGTTCCCCTACCCGGACGACAGGCTTCTCCAAGGCTCTTCTTTGGATCAGCTGCTGATCCACATCACTCTAGTGCAGGACCTTTTTCGGGAGCTGGGGCTGCTCCTGAGTATAGCCAAATTGACCCTGGTCCCCACCCAGGTTATAGAGTTTGTGGGTGCCCACCTGGATTTGGTGTCAGCCACAGCCTCCCTTCTCAGATCCTGTTTCCTGGCAATCAAATCAACTGTGCAGGGCATGTGTCTCCTGGGGCTGATGGCCTCTTGCACCTACATCATTCAACTTGCCAGGCTTCACATGTGTCCATTAAAGATGTTGCTTATGCACGCTCCTAACCCATCCCTGCACTCTTGGTACAGAGTGGTGACAGTTCCACCCAATGTCCTGTGCTCTCAGGACTGGTGAACCTAGGAGAAGGTGGTTTGCGCTTGAGTCCTGTTCTCCAGACCTCTACCAACCCTCCAGTCAGTGACAGGCATGCCTGACATCTGTTGGGGGGCTCACCTCGGAGATTTGCAGACCTAACGTATGTGGTCAAGGGATGACCTCTCCCTGCATATCAATGTCGGAGCTGCGGGCAGTTCACCTCACCAGTGTGGCCTTTCTCCCTCTGCTCAGGGGCAAAGCAGTCCTCATTCTTTCTGACAGTAATTTGGCGGTCTCCTATACCAACAAGCAGGGCAGGGCCTGCTTTCCTCCCCTGTGTCAGGAAGTTCTTCAGCTATGGGAGCTATGCATTGGGGCAGATATTCACCCAGTTGCCTCTTGTTCCTGGGTCCCAGAACACTGGCGGATCAGCTGAGCAGCTCCTTCTCCAGCCATGAGTGGTCTCTCAGAGGGGATGTGGGCCTCCAAGTTATCCACAGGTGGGGATTTCCCCTTCTGAACCGGTTTGCCACCCAGTGGAATGTGTAGTGCCCACAGTTTTGCTCCCGGATGGGGCTCCCTAAGAGATGTGCTCATTACTCTCTGGCCCAAGGGTCTACTGTATGCATTCCCACCTTTTCCACTGGTTCACAAAGTACTGTTGCGGGTTTGGAAGTTCAGGGCCTCCCTGATCCTCTTCACGCTGGTATGACCCCAGGCAACACTGGTTCACATCTCTCCTCAGCCTGTCCTGCAAGAGACTAATCACTCTCCTGTTGACCCGGACCTCATCAAGTAGGACTTTGGCAGGCTTCGCCATCTGAACCTGCAGTACTTACACCTAATGGCATGGAAGCTCCGTAGCTGACAGCAGCAGAGCTAGAGTGCTTGGCGTGTGTGCAGGAGGACCTGTTTGGGAGTGGGAAACCTTCCACTAGGACCTGGCCAAGTGGAAGTGCTTCTTTGGGTTGCCCAGAAGTGGGTTTTACCCATGGATGCCCAGATTCCCTTGGTCCTGGACTACCTCCTGGATCTTAGGCTACAGGGGTTCTCCTCAATTAGGGTACACTTGGTGGCCATCTCTGCTTTCAACCTGGGCTCCCAGGGCAAGATCCTCTTTGCAGATCCCATGGTACACTGGTTTTTGGAAAGGGTTGGGCAGTCTTTATCCGCACGTCTGTCAGCCCGTCCCTCAGTGGGACCTCAGCCTGATCCTGTCCAAACTCATGTGGCCTCCCTTTGAGCCTTGGTGACATGCTCGCTGCTGCACCTTTCTTGGAAAGTGTCTGTCTTGGTCGCTATTTGCGAGCCCTCACCTCCCTTCTCCCCCATACTGTTTTCTTTAAGAATAAAGTCAGATTACACCTCCGTCTTCCTTGTGAATGTGGTGTCTCACTTTCATGTGTCTCAAGATATTTTTCTCCCCGTTTTTTACCCCCAGCCCCATGCTTCAGGTAAGGAACAGGTATTATGTGCTTTAGATGTTAGGAGAGCTTTAGCTTTTTATTTGGAAAGAACAAAGCCTTCCGTAAGTCCCCACAATTCTTTGTGGCAATTGTGGAGAGGCTGAAGGGACAGCCAGTCTCTGCACAGAGGATTTCCTTGTGGATTATGTGCTGTGTCAAGGGGTGCTATGACCTGGCTGGGGTGCCAGCCCACTCCATTAGGGCCCAGGCCTCCTCTACAGCGTTTGTGGCCCAGGTCCCTATTTTGGACATCTGCAGGGCTGCCACATGGACTTCAGTCTGCACTTCTGACAATCGTTACACACTGGGCCAACAGGCTAAGGAGGATGCAGCCCTGGCAAGGGCTGTCCTCTGCTCAGTTGAAGGTTAGAACTCCGACCCCACCTCCTTGTTTCTTGCATCACCTACATGGGATGGACATGAGCAATCACGCGAAGAAGAAAAAATGGTTACTTACCTTCATAACGGTGTTTCTTCGAGATGTTGCTCATGTTCATTCCAAATCCCACTTGTCTCCTGTTCTT